GCATTTGTGGTTGATGAGTTATAGCCGTTCAAAGGTAACCAATCACACTTGCGTTTCTTTTGGTAGCCACTGTATAATTCATTTTAGTTCATATTTGAAAGTAAATTTTATTGTAATGCAAAAGTTAATGTCTAGTTTTAGATTTATCTAGTTGGAGATACTTGTGAAAGTATTATACAACTTTTTTTTGAATACAGAGTAAATCCTCTTGATACACATTTTTTAGGACTAGTTTTTTTTTGTTTTAACTATAATAAATCAGTAAATTGATTAGAAGTATTAGATCAATTAAAAATATATAATCTAATTTTAAAATGTGTTTTTCAGAAGTAGTTTCTTCTGCTGTATCAGTATCAATAATAGGTTCTTGATAATGAAGTAGTCTTATTAAAATTGCTATTGTAGATCTTAAGGTTTGATTAATAGAATTTGTCTTATTAGCTAAATAGCTAATTTTTGGATTATGTTTCATTTCTAACTTAAAGTCTTTTGATTCTCTTTCTTCTAGATTTTTTTCTAAAAGAAAATCAAGAACTAATTCACCATCATCATTTTTAATTGTTTGTGTAGTTTGTTCTATTACCATAATATTTATTCCTACCATTATAACTAATAAATTTACCTTTTAAGTAAATTATTGAGAATTTTCAAATTCTTCAATATGATTTTTAATTTCACTATTTAGTAGAATAAAAGCTTTAATTTTTAAATAAATGATTTTTGATGAACCTTTATTACTCAATTTTACAATTCTAGTAATTTCTTTAATATTATATTCTTTACTAATCTTTCAGTAAAGTTGTAAATATAACATATTATACTCAATTTAGTTGGCATTAGAAAAATTTTTTTTTATATGATAAAAAATAGATTTTATTATTTTTTTGATTAAAGAAATTTTTGTTGATTTTTTTTTTCTAGAAATTTTTCAAAAAATTAATTTTTTTAATTAAATAAATATGTTTTAGATCAGATTTGTATTAGTTATTTTTTTTCAAGTTTAGCATTGTAAATTTGATCTTTTTTTTTTGTTTAATCTTTTTTTCAATTTTAGCATTATAAATTTGATCTCTTTTTTTGTTTGATTTTTTTTTTCAATTTTAGTATTATAAATTTGACCTTTTTTTTCAAGTTTAATATAATAAATTTCTTTATTAAGTTAAAGTAAAATATTTTTTTATATAATCAATTTAGTAAAAAACAATTAATTCAATAACAATAATATTTTGTTTATATTTTTTATTTACTTATTTACTTATTTAAATATTTATTTACTTATTTGATATAAAAAAGTTAAGGCAAAAATCATTTTTATGTAATTGATTTAGTAAAAAAATTTAAAAAAATTAATAAATTTAATGTTAATAAATTTATTTAAAATTTATGTAAAGTATATTTTTTATTATTTTTTTAAAATTAAATAAATGATTTATTTTATTTTTTTTTTATAGATTGAAATTTTTAAATTTTTTTTTATAGATTGAAATTTTTAAATTTTTTTTTAATAATAATGAAATTTTTTTTATTTACTTATTTTACTTATTTAGATGTTTATTTCTTATTTTAGTTAAAAAAAATTGTTTTTTAAGATTAATTATGAAATATTTGTAAATTATATCTATATAAGAATTGTTCAATATTTATTTTATTTGTTTAATTTAATTTGTTTAATTTTATGTATCGTTATATGATTTGCATGTAACAATTTATTTTTTTTAAAAAAAACTAATAAATAAAATCACTACTTGATCTATATATTACTGGATTTATCTGGTGATTGTTAATAAGTATTTATTAAATAAAGTGTAATTTTTAATTTTTAATCTATATGAATTAATAAATATTAATAAGTAAATAATAGTTAATAACTATTAATAATAAAATTAAATATAATTAGTTAAATACAAATATGAATTATGTGATCGATTAATTTATTTACTAAATAGATATATTGTAATCCAAACTTGATTATATCTCATCAGCCTAAATTGTCAATCTATTTTAATAATACCTTAAGATTATATTAGTGATGTTCTCCTAATTTAGTTTAATAGGATATAGTTGATTTAAACTACAATAGCAGTTATATATTGTTAGTATTTTTAATTCTAATAATAATAATGAGTCTCTTACTTTAATTAAAATTTTCAATCTATAACTAATTGTAATAATGTTGGTTAAAAAATAAATTTTATAATTTATAAATAAAATATTAAAATAATAATAATGTTGTTTTAAATTTATCAATGTAAATGTATTATCATGTGATTTAATTAAAATCTGATTAACTAGAATTTTTAGTATTATTAATTTAATTATTAACTTAATAAGTAATTATTAATTAAAAAGATTTGAAATAATTTATAAGTTCCATTACTAATTTAGATAATAATGATAATATTTATTACTTATTCCTATTCGATCACATAATGTTAAAATATTTACAAAGAAAATATCATCAATAATTTGTATTATTAAATTAATTTATCACTTATAAGTTTTTAATATAATCTGATATATTCTTAATAATAACTCTATACTTAATAAAATCTATTTTGATCTTACAGTAGAGATAAATGACAAATCTAAATTCTGGTATGATAAACTTTAGAGAAAATCACCTCAGTTTAGCTAAAAAACTATTATGATCAATCAAAATGAGTTAATACTATCATTTATTTTATTATTTTTTTAATTTAATTATAAATTAATTTAAAGTTTAATTTTATTAATATTATATTTTTATATACAATAGCAGTCATAAATATCTAACCACCTAAGATTGTTTAAAATTATTATATAATTACCTTAAATTTTTTAGAAATATAATGTAATACAATATATAATCACCTATAAATTTATAAGTATTAATGATATAAAAAAAAAATTTAGATAATCATCAAACTTTCACTTGAAAAATGGAACTTTTTTTAGCGAAACAATATGAATTGTTTTTTTACGTGAGTATCCAGCTGGTCTAAAGTTTAGTTTTAGATTTATTATTAAATAGGTACGTTGTAGTAATCTATAGCTATTTATTAGATTAAAAGATATCATAAAAATAAGAACCTAAATACTTCAGAAAGACTGGAGTAGCCTTGTATAATATTTGCAAAATAAGATAACAAGATTGTAAAGATAGTAGAGAAAGAATATAATATAATAGCCATTCAAATACAAGAAAAAATAGAAGAAAGAGATGTTAGGCTTAGTGTAAAAACAATAAGGTGACATCTTCGTAAATCTGAAGGAAAGTTTAATAATAAAATTTTTAAACTTTTGCTTAAAGAAGACCATCAAAATAAAAGGTTGTAATGGGCAAAAAAACATAAGAATTTTGATTAGAATCGAGTTGTTTTTACAGATAAGAGTACATTTTAATTATATACTTTAAAAAAAAGGTTTAGCAGTTTTCTGGTAGAAAAAAAGTGTTTCGTTCTGTTAAGCATCTACCAAAAGTTCATGTTTAGAGATGTTTTTCTGCTTCTAAATTTGGTAAGCTATTTTGCTTTCAGAGGAACCTTAATGCTGAATTTATGTGTACTATTTATGAGAAAAGTCTTCTGGCTTTCACCTCTAAACTTTTTGGTAAAGGTAACATAGATTGGATCTTGTAAGAAGATAATGATCTAAAGCATCAATCAAAAATCATGAAAAAATAGAAGGAAGAAAATAGCATTAAGGTACTTTCTTGACCATCAATGTTTTTAGACCAAAACCATATAGAAAATGTTTAGAGGTTAATGAAAATCAATATACAAAAAAAAAATTCGATCAATTAGAGGTTAAAAGGGAAACTTACAAAAGAATAGAACTGATTATCATCTGTACTTATTGCAAATTTGGTAGCTAGTTTGAAAAAGCGTATAGCTGCACTTATAGAGTCAGATAGTAATTACATAATGTATTAATTTTAGTTAGTTGGTTATGTATTTTTTAAATAAAAAAAAATTTTGAATTTACTTACTTGTAGCTAGAGTTAGAGGCAGTCGGATACTTATGACCGCTACTGTATCTTATATCATATCCAGGACGGAGATTAATAGGTTTAGGTACAGTTTTATTAAAAACTTCATCTATAATAATATTAGTAGTTTCTCTGAATATATTTATTAGTAAATTAGTGATTTATAGCAATTTCAGAGTTTTATAGTGTTTTTAGTGAATTTTAGTGATTAAGAGATTTCAGTGATTTATAGCAGTTTGTAACAAGTATATTATAATAAAATATCAGATTCATTTTTTATTCGAGACTAGCTGTGCATATGCAAATTAGCCCTAATGATTTTATTTATTCAATAAGCAGTCATACAGCATTTACAGATATACATGAATTAAAGGTCCAATATAAGGATAATTTTATTTATTTTATTGTTTCAACTGCGCCATACTTTACAATACTACGTATAAAAAATCTACATTCAAAAGTCTATAAAGACCAAAATACAAGTGTTGAGGGTGTCTCAGCATCAGGATAGTATTACGTAGTAATAACAGCTATTCCTCAAAATTTTTTATGATGTATGTGACTTCACTTCTTGTTAAATCTAAAAAACTATATTTAGTAAATGACTTGATACGAAGAATCTTATCTTTTCCTATCGCGCTAAAGATGTCATAAAATTTTTTGGCTATATCTGTTCTCTTGCGTACCATACTATTATTTGCATTCTTTGAAAGTTTTTTCTTAACTTCTTTATTCAGCTTTGTATGCGCCATTTGCGAAGAATTACTTTACAAAAGTATAGCTAATCGTTCTGATAAGGCTTTTTCAAATTGAAATAGAAACAAACTAAATCTCTATTAGTTCAATTCCATTTTTTTTCTGCATTATCAATCTTATAATATAATTTATGGAATTGATTCGAAACTTTTCTCATGTCAGAATCTTCAGGAGGTACACCAATTAATACTTTACTAGCTAGGCAGATGGATAGCTCACAAATTATGGTTTGCACTTTTGTATCCCTAATAGATTTACGTGAATCATCTTTTCTCTTCCTTTTCTTGGATGCTTCATCGAAAGTAGGTGAAATATAATATCCTTCTTTTTCAAGATTATCAATTGACAGGCATTTGGGACACAGCTTATTCTTATTACCAATGTATCTGAAATGAGCCTTATGTCTACATGGTAACAGTACGACTAGTATAAATACAGAAGCATCAAATCTTAATAGAGGCACTTTAGAGATTATTTTAAAACACTTATCGTAAGCTTTTTCAAACAGATCATCATCATCATCAAATTCAAGATCCTCTGAAAGCAATAATAGATTACTATCTTTCTCTATACTACATGAATAATATAATGTTCCTCTCTTATCAGTTCCTCTTATACAAGTCCAGTGGACCATATCACTACAAATATTTAACATGAGGGATCTAAGTGGATCTTCTGTTAAAATAGGAGTATCATATTTCATACATGGCCCATAATCTGGGATAGCTTCATTAGATTTTATCGATGAAAAATCTGGCTCTTCACGAAGAATATCCTCTGGAAGGTGTTTCAATATATGTAATGCGAATAATTTTAAGGCTTTATTGCATTTTGGTTATACTTCATAAATATCTTTGCTTTGGGTAAAGGTGTTTATGATATTCTCCATTCCCTCAATATCCTCTGTATCAATATCGTCAGCAGTGATCTTTGTCATATCAAATAGAACTTCTATATTAGCTGAGTTCTCTTGGCTCTTTTAGTTCTCTATAGTATCATTTTCTGAAAGATAACTATGTAATTTCTCATACAAGACCCTGTTTTTATAACACCAGGCAAATATTCAGGAAAAACATTCATCAGATTTTTACCAGCAATTATGCACTGCATTTCGTCATTCATAACTCAAAAAATAAAGTCAAAAAAAATGTATATATGCAGATCTTATATCACAAAGTCCCTATTCTTTGGCCGATATCTTCTGCGCATTTGCCTTAGCAGTGATTACTCTATATGACCGTCTAAGCCACAATTGCGAATCTAAATTTATTGCTTAAAGTGAAGCAAGTAAGACAATATTCTATTCTATTCCTATACCATTCACTATGTAATTCATAATTCTCATGTTTTTCATCACAAATAGGGCATGGTGAGTTTCATAGCTGAGCAAATACAAAGTTATAATTATCAATCCCTCTAAAACTATTTTAGAATTTCAAGTATAGGAAGTACTCTAAGACAGATTTGATAATTGATTTTGAATCAGGTCTGGCTTCAAAAATGATAGGTCTTTCTTCTTCATATTACTCGAGAAAAGATGATACTTTGTATTCTGACATTGAATTTATGACTTCTGATTCATGTATTTCTGATAATTACCATGGCTCATTGCCAATTTCTTTTTTATATCTTTTATATAATTTAGAACGAATCCTATCTGTCAAAATACTTGGTAATCCAGTTAATTTAGCATGTCAATCCAGATAATTGGCAATTAGTATTTTAACAGACTTGCTCATATTACCTTTTTGTATGATTGCTAATCAATTTAAATTATGTAATAGACTAATAGTTGATATAATTAGCCCTAAAAAATATCATACAATGAAGCGTAAGCAAATAGAATATATTATAAAATAATGAGACTATGCAACTATCTTAATTTCACGCTGTTTACATTTAATAAAATAAGATCTGGCTTCATATTTACCTTCTATACCTTTCTTATTATCATGATCTAACTTGCATAATGGACATGAAGTCTCATCAGTAATTCCATAATAATTAATATTTTTACTACTAAATTCTCTATATAAATTAGGATATTGATCCAATGTTTTATTGCGAAAATAGACGTGGTCATAAGTTAGACTATTGGGTTGAGAAATAGGTGGTATTACCTCTACCTTGGTATTAAATTTTTTTAGGGCAGATTCATTAGGAACTTGAGATTCAGTAGACGTATCTGAACTGGTGATATGTGATAAATCAGAATTTTTCTTATCACTTTGTGAACTTGGTTTACAAGATGTGTCTCCATATAAATGCTATAATCAAAGGGTATATTGTCAATAATATACTGGATGTCTTCATATGTCATTTTTGAGATAGAATCAGCAGAAAAGGAATGAATTCGCTTTATTTTATCTATACCTATTATATTAAAAAGTATATAGAACTTCTTGACCTACTCAATTCTTTTTCGTAAAGTGCATCAGAAGTACTAGTAAGAAGCTGAGCTTAACTTTTATATTTAGAATTCTACTGATTATATTAGATCCCGGATTGACTTATTTTTCAGATGCAATCTCACCTCGCCTCTGGATAAGAGCTTTCTCAAATTGATAGTAATAAAAGATAGCTTCTTGAATCACATGATTAGCAAGGATTATGGCATCACAAAGTTTTTCATATAAAAGAGAAAAGGTTGGCATTCTTATTTCTACTGCTAAGGGATCACAGCTTCATTTTGTTTTCTCTAGGTAAACATCCAAAGAATTTGAGCTTAGCTCATCTATAATATTGAAACAATTGATGCTTGAATCTGATTCTCTTTGAGAAGATACTGAAAGTATCGAATCATCTGAGATTACTTCAGTGACCGCCTTCTCAGACACTTCCTGAATGAATTTTTCCCTTTATTTTTTCTGATTTTCCTTACAAAGTGCCCTTTTGTTGACTGATACCTGTTTACCTTTTCAGGAGAGATGGATTCCACTTTTGTAAGCTTCTCATCCTGCTTTCTCTGCCTTATTCTATCATTAACAATTTTCTTATTCACTTCATCCAGAAAAGAGTCTATCATCTTTTTCTCCGATGACTTAGAATTGACAGATACTAATTCATTCACTATTACAGAATCTGGTATGTCAGCGTTTTTTGAGAGAGGAATCCTTTTGTGAATGCCTAGAATCTTCTTCCAGCTTTACAACTCTAGCCTTAAACTCAACATTCTCAGCATCACGCCTGACATTTTCAACATCATGTCTAGTATTCTCAACAGCAGTATCTATTCTAGCTTTTTCTAATTCCTCGATTCTATTCCTAAGTTCAGCCCTTAACTTTGTAATCTCATCCTTAACCTCATCATACTTGACCTTAAACTCAGCATTCTCAGCCATAAGTTTAGCATTTCTTGCTTAAATAAGTCCATCTCAGATGTCATTTTCAAAATAATTTTATACATTATATATTTACATTCAAAATAAAAAATTCACGTGATTCCACTTTGTGAACTTAGTTCACAAAGTTTTTTTCAATTATAAATATGAAAGTAAGCATGAATAATAAAGAAATGCCTTGTAATTGGTTATTAGTTAGAGACCCCCCGTTTCTGTAAAAATTCGATACAAGATCAATATTGTGCCTTCCATGCATTCAAAATACGAAAGAGTGTAATAATCCTACAACTATGTAAAGGATGTGAATGAGGCACTAAATCAAGCATTCAGCTTTGTGTCCAATATGAACAAAGTAAAAAAAGAGCATACATATATTATAAAAAGAAGAATATAAGAGTAAATGAATAATTAAACATATCACTTTCATAAGTACTAACCATCTATTATTACTTTCATAAATGCTAATTTCAACAATTCATATGTAAGAATTAGACATACATAGAACAGTACTTAATTTACTAACTGGTTGATGGATTAGCTCAAATGGAAAGCTATTCCAGAAGTTAATTCGTAAAGGTTACAGATATGCTAATAGATTTTCAGATTATTTAGAAGATATTAGGACTATATGTATTGGTAAATTTGAGTTGGATCCCTTAGCTGACTTCTACTATTCAGCCTTAATTCTGCCTTATCTATCTTAACAAGTAGATCAGATATTCATAAAAACTTCCTTATTACTGTGGATTCTGCTATTGAGGGTGGAATGAGTTTATTTATCATCAGAAAAAATAAATGATCTTCACTTCAAAATATAATGGAAATGAATTATAGTAATTTATCTACATTGATAGAGATAACTTGGGAGTATGAGAAGACAAAAGCTTAGAGGAATAACATATTCGTAAAATTCCTTCATTATCCAAATTTGATTCCTTCAAAGTATAAGCCAAATTCTTTATATGATGCATTTACCAAGACGAGTGTTTTAGGGCTAGAATATATATTAACTCTATCATGAATTCAAGGTATAATTATGATATAAATAAATTGTTTATAGCCCTGGAATGGCAGTTCTATGACTATATTTTTCGCTTATCATATATCTGCAAAATTTAATTCTTTTATTATTACATGCAAAAAATAAATACAAATGTTCAGGACGTAGCCTGTAATATATGACGTCTATGTAATATACATCCTATTTTTTTGAACGATATTTCTCTATTCTAGCCTTTTTATATGGTTATTAGACTCAGATAAAAAATAGTGTTACATTTCGGAGTGAGATAAAAATTTATTGGAAAGAGAATACTAGGCAATAATATAGGCTTTTATGTCACACAGTCATTGCATGGTCCCTTTAGGACTGCATCATTACACGTGACCTGCTTACTCATATATTGATAAGATAATAATACTTTATTTATGAAATAAAATGTTGCCAGAACCTGGCCTACATACATAAAAACTATTATATAGCATAGTAATGAATATAGATAAAAAATTCTAACTAGTCACTAGGGAAGAATTCGGATATGAATACGGTCTTCATCATCAGACGTCTCATTAAAATAGAAAAAAATCCTATTTTCTATTCGCATAGACTTCTTCTCAAGATAAATTTGGTGGAAGAAGTCATTATGGTTAATTGACTCCAGCTTCTTTCTTACTTCTTCTTCAAGATCAGAAACTTTTTTATCCTTGGAAATCTCAATTGCGAAAAGTATATTTTTATTTCTGAAATTACGATAGCGGAAGTTAAGACTCATAATATCATTATCTGTGCTAGTAGACATCTTGTTTTCCTAAATACAAGGCTCATAATGAGAAAAAAACTCGCTCCTATATATACATAACTTCTAACATATACATACCTTAAATTTTTTCTGGAAAAGTTAGCTAAACTTTCACATACTTTTACATGCTTTATATTTTGCTGGGAAAAAAATAAGGATATATGAAATGTAATTAGTATTATTGTCTGATGCCAAGAATTTCATGAAAGTACATGTAAATGGAATCCTTATACCTTTTTACATGGAGATCTACCCTGCAAGACATATAGTTGGCTTTGTATCTGACGATCTCAAAATTACAAAGTTCTAGGCCTTTCACAACATATACTTTTACCATAATTATTTACTTTTAGAGTTAATTCTGTGTTACTTATAGACATTCTTTCACATTTATCTCATATTCGTTTAGAAAAAAAATAGAGGTACTGATTAGTATGAATATTTTTCTTTTCAAGTATATGCAAATTAACATATCACATAACCTGTCTGATGATCCACTTATTTTTTATCACACAATCTAGTCAAAGGCGCTATTTATAGCTTAGTAAAAAAATCTTTTGAGCTGGTGATCACTGCTCCAATTGATGATCAGTATTTCAGACACAAAATTGAATGTATGCTAACCAGAGGTAAACAAAATCATGACAAGTAATACTAATATTAGTTCTGATAAAAGCGAAGCTCAATTATATGAAATGCTTCTATATAAGAAGAAAGATATAATAGCTATTCAGAAAAAGCTCAGTATGCTTACAGACCGGAGGAAGAGACCTATTAAGAATATATATCAAATAGTATTAAATTAAAGTAAAAAAGAAAAAACACTTGAAGATTCGTTTGAGCTATTATTTGATTTAATGGAAAAATTAATAGATGTATGGAAAGATCTTAATGTGATCAGCTACCCCATTCTTACTACATTATATGAAAATATGCAAGATTTTGATGAAGTAACATTTAGAAAAATATCACTTGGAACATTATATCATTTGCTTTTATATTTGGATGATGATATAAGCATGATTCAAAATCATCTTGGTATTATCAGTCATTATGATCAGGAAATAAGTGGATTAGAAGAAGCCAATAAAAATGCAAAAGCGTATCTTCAAAACTTTTGATGATTTCTTTCTTGGGTATTAATACACCTGGACCATTTTCTGTCAAAGGCATAGTTTAAAAGGGAGTAAAAATGTTTTATTTTTCTGAGCGATGATTCACTTTTTTGTCGCACAATCTGTAGCTTAGAAAATTCTTCTAAGCTGAAGATCACCGCTCTGGACTAGCTAGATTAGTTGTATACTATCCCGCTATAAAGGGTCTTATTAATTTCAGATTAAGAAAAACAGAAATAAAATTATTATTAAAGAACCCAGATTGGGTCAAAATCTGTACATTGCTAACCTGTCTAAGATAATCACTAAATGCAGTAATAAAATCAGACGTATTTTTCTTTTCAACTTGAATAAGCATTTCTACTATTTTATCAGAATCAAGATCATAACTATAATAACATCCAAATCTTGCGATATATCTTTGACTTTCTGATAACAATCCTTTATGAAATAATTCTCTAAGATAATTTTTACAGAGCTTAATAACATCATTACATCTCTTTATCTTTGAGTAATAATCCACTATTGAGTCTTCACCTTTAAGCAATAACCCATACCAGAACTTATCTACCTCATCTGCATTATCATCTACCTTAATCTTATTTTATCAATACCATCTGACCATATTTCCTCTCGAAGTTCATGCGAATAATATAGCAATTTTATCAGACTTAATATTTGTGAAAGATAAATAGCATTGGATTATAAAAGTACATGGAGTAATAACATTAGATTTCTTACACTAGGCAGACTATATACAAATTGTTTAAGTGTTTTCTCCCTCTAATACCTGACTGCCTTTGTCTTCCAATAAATTTTAATTTTACAAAATAGATCTTCCCAGTCTTGCCACTCTGGTATAAATTCAGAATTTTCTTCATTATTCCATTCATATCTTAAACTATATTCTTTATAAATTCATTATAGCCTTCATCTGTTTCATCATCTGACATTTTGCTAATAAAGCAATTATACTTAATAAAAAATAAAGTACTGGTTAGTATGTATAGCTTCTTTTCAATATATGTAAAAAATAATTATGTAAAATACTGCAATTTGCCTTCTCTGACTTGCATATATATACTATATCACTAGTTTAGTCACAGCAGTACTGTTTACAATATTCACCGCTCCAGACTGGTTAGCTTAAAAGAACTATTATCTTTTTGCGTAAACTCTAGCTCCTGTACCAATCTATCTAATGTTAATTTAAGACCAATTATATAGGCTTCTTATTGAAATTCAGATGCAACCCCTACTAGAAATACCTTTTTAATATTTTTATTTGCATTTTCTATAATTTCATCTAAACTTTCCATATTAAGCAAATTGATATTAAATCCCATACTTTACTATATAAGCCTATATTCTTAATTAAAAAAATAATATTAATGTATGAATAGTGACTTCTCTACCCACTTACTCATACGTCAGAAAAATATATATAATATTTATTTTAATGCTGTAACTTATCTTCCTTATATATTTACCATTCACTAGTCTAGCTTATAAAAAGCTTTGCCAAAAGACGGTTAGATTGACATTACTCTGAGCATTTATTCTATTTTATTATCTGATCTTTCACGATTCTCCTCTTTAGCTATATGATAATAAACTCGTATAATTCTTCTAAGCTGGTATATAGATCATTATCTGCATATCTTTTGTAATAATTTTCTAGCCTTCAAGTGTATGCCTCTTCGTTAGGAAACATCTTGACTGCGACTGTCTTAATATAGTCATTCAGATTCTTTTCAGCTCGCAATTTCTTTAGATAGTCTCCATAGTTTTTTGCAAGATTATCATATTTTTTGCCCTTTCGCAATGCAGTTTTTATGACTTTGACTTGCGCAAGTTCTATATCCTTATGATCAATCATTTTGTATTATTTCTACTATAACGATAGAAAAACTTTAATTAATGAAAAATATATTCTTTAGAATTTTTTTATCTGAAAAAAAATATTTGTTATAAAATATCTATATCTTGACATGAAATTTAGCTTTTATATCCCTTTCTTTTGCTTTCTCAGAAGATATTTCAGATGCTATTAGGTGTTTATATAGACTAATTCACCAATATTCATAGGGGAGAATTTGAATTCCATCAAGTAAGATCTAGCACTTGTTATCATATAGATTCAGCCCTATCTTATTTATCCTCTCCAAATATATTTAATGATCATAATTTGAAGATCATACATATCATGTTAGATTAGTTTATTGTTCCTAAGATATTCTAGGAACTTATCATATTGAAGCTCCCTTTTGATCACGCATTTCTTTACACCCTTTGACTTCTGGATGCTATGCTTTTTCTCCCATTTCTTTTCACCCTGTGACTTTCTATATTCTTTCTCTTCTAACTCTTTTTTGAAATCTGCATCTGTTTCAGGAGTTTTAGAATCATAACCTGCTGGAAGAACTGAATACATTTTTGGCTTTAAGCATACTGATTTGCCTATTGGATCCCCTTTTGTCTCATCCTTCATTAGAAACAAGTCTCCTGAATAGTTAAGATCGAAAATGTCTAGTCTTTCTGTTTGATCTTTATATATGTCTTTAGTTTCTATTTATATTATGAGCGAGTTTATATTTGTATAAAGTAGATAGGCCTTATCTTTATAGCAAGACTTTATGTAACTGTACCAAAAGTTAAATATCATAGCCTTACTAATGTCGAGAATTGCCTACCCTACATAGATTGGTTTGTTTAAAGTTACTGTACTTTTTAATATATGGATTGCTGTAATTTTCCCTTTGAATGCTTTAAAACCTACATACAATGGTAAACTTGTTAGGCATCTGATTTTTTTATCCTCTTTTGTTCAGAGTAATTCTACTTTTATATGTTATGAACATTCTTCATCTGTTTGCCAAAGACTGCATTATTTTTTAACTTATAGTACATAACTCTAAACTCATTCCTGGTGGCCTTAGCTATTTTGCATTTACAAATATTTTTCTCAATATATTCTTTTATCTATGGAGACTATTGGAATTTTAATCTTTTATGAATCTTTGTAACTTTCATCCCCATTTTTATGTATAACTGGAGTGCACAATAATGGATCACGTAGTTCAGAATAAAGAGTTTGGACAAGCTTTTCTCCTATTATATATTTTTCACCCTCAACTTCTTTATAATGTACTAATTTTTCATTATGCAAGCTAAGCTATTCTTCTGAAACTATCTGCTTTTCTGATACTAAAGGATAATCTGCAAAGAAATCATGCAAGTGCACTGGGCTTTTAGATCAACTTCTAATATATATCCTATTTCAGCATCTAATGCAATACTTTGTATGTCCAGAACCTGTTCTGAGCTTACTTTTCCCAATATTTTTATAGGCATGTATTGGGTCATCATACCTGAATATAAAGCATTTATATTGTCATATAAGATCCAAGATATTAGTTTGCTTGAATTGTAATCGAAACATTTAGGATTATTAGCTTTAGCATAATGGTGACTTGCCATTGTTATGCCTCTACGAATGCCCTTCTCAACCATCAAGTACTCATCTATATCTGTCATTAGCTTAAGTTCAGCTCCACTACTTTTATATAAGGAATCATTAAACATTCCTGATGCAGATACATAATGAGAGAGATCTAAGCTATCATCATTCAAGCACATGATAATGTAGTTTATGAAAACGTCTGCAAGTAAAAGTATGTCAGTTTCAAGATATAAGTTATGATATTCTCCAAAATTCTTCATCTCAAATTCCTGCCATACTTTTTGAGCATGTTCATAATCCTCTTTACTAATATTTTGCTGGCTAAGAAGCAAATAGAAATCCTTTCTAGATGGAAGGCTTGTTCTGTCAAATTTTTCTCATGCATTTGTCCAGTCATATGGAAAAACACCCTTTCGAAAAAGTAGCTTAATCTTATCTATTAAATAGCCTTTCTCAGTAAAGTACCTAACAATTAGGAAGAATTTTTGAGCTTTCCTTTTAGACATTTTACTAATTTATCTAATCCTATTCCTATATGCTAAAAGCTATCAAGAAATTAGAGCTGGTCAACATTTATGGCTTTGTACTTTCCTATATTTTCTAGGATGCAATTTAGCTTATCAGCCATAAACTTGCTCACAACTTTCATAAGCGGATGAGAATCATATTCTCGGAAATTATGACATATAAGAGGCACTTTGATTTTAAAAAAGCCTATTTGTAATTTTTTGTTACAAGAGTCATGAGCTGGACCTCAGTACTTTCCATTTATATGATCATGATCTTTTACTTTTTGATTAAATGCACTTAAAGCTTCTCAGTATCTTTTTTGTACCTCTTTCTTTTTAGGATGTTCTTTTTCCATGCATGATTTTCATTCTTTGATTTCTAATAAATTATGCTTTACTTTTTCGAGTTTTTATAATATCTCTGGTGCTGATTTTAAAAAAGGTCCCTTACAAATCCAGCATTCTGTCATCTCATTGTATGCTTTAAGATCTCCTGATATCATTATTATTTCTACAAACGCAGATAAGTCCTCCTGTATGTTTGCCAGCTCCTTCTCGATTTTTATAACAAATCTTTCAAGTGTATCTGGACCCCTATATAAATCTTGACTTATGATTTCATAGTTGAGTAAACTATCTATATAAACAACTACATAGCAATAGCCATACAGCTTGTACATCTGTAATCTTTCAGTATAGGTTAACTTCATCTTCTCTTTAGGAGTTAACTTTTTGGTTAACATTTCTAGATCTCAGAAAATGCGATATAGATTTGGTTGCATGTATTTATGGTTATAAAAAGCTTTGATACTCCTATTCTTAACTGGTATTTGTGGTTGCTAAGAGGTATTATTTAGACCCTTGCATTTTAACGAATGTTCATTATATTTTATCTCTGAAGAGTATACATGAAGACAATAACAACAAATATATTTTCGCCCTTTATGTTTGCTATGATTATATACTAACTTATATAAATCTTTGATAATACAGTAGTGACTTCTTTCTTCTTTCATAATTATTAGAAGATTTACTTGCTTATATTCATCCCTTCTTCTTTCTGAAATATAGCGAAAGTTAAGACATTTGTTTTGGTTGTGTTATTCATAGACACATAGACTGATTTCAGAATTATTTTCTTCAAACTTTTTATAAACTGGTGTTGAGACTGGTACTAGAACTGGAATATTATCCATATTAAGTTTTTTCACAAAATTTTCATATAGCTGATGCGAATTTCTTTCTGAATGAACTTTAATTAGATGCAAAGCTTCTAGAACACTCTAGCCAAAATACTAATCATCATTATTTTAAATATTAATAATTCCGTTATTACATTTTGGCAAAGTTTCTGGCAAAGGTATATAAGTGATAGGACTAATCAAATTAAATTCAGCTATTTCTATACTAAATTCTTCTATATATTCTGGGTAAGCATCAGACATTTGGTATATTAGTTAGCTCTAACTGTTACGTTATTACTTACTTATATAATTTTTTTTTTAATTATTTATTTTCTATATATCTATCACTTTTTGATCATAGAAACCCTATTGAAAATAAGTATTTATAAGCTTTTCAAGCAGTTCTAATTATTGCAAAACTGAAGCATTAACTAATTATTAATTAATCTTTTTAAATCTAGTAATAAAAAAGTAGGATAATCAGTGAATATTCTTGCCCATTTTTCGCAATACTAGAAAGGTTTGTGAGAATGCTAGTACTAAGCCTGAAGGATGTTGATTCCATTGAAAGGTTAAAAAATATATTTTTTGCTCTGATTGCGAAAAGCTTATAGCTTCTACTTGTGCACAATATCCACTATACATTAGAGGTTATTATATTATCTGATACTATGATAGACTTTGACAAGAAAGAACTTATATTGGTCAATTCTATACTAGCCAATTCTATGATAGACTTTGATCAGAGATACAAGAAAGAAGTTATGAGGAAATAATAGTTACTTATAGAAATACGCTTACAAATCTTAATATTTCTTTTTGTAGGAAATGCCTTATTCTGATAAAAATAGGAGAAGAAGATTATTGCATTAGTTGTCAACCAGAATAAATAAAGATTATTTCAGCTAACTTAAATTTTAGGCATAATATCCAATGAGCATTTGCTAAATTTTATTAGACTTGTTTTTTTTATATTTTTTTGTTAAAGTTTTATAATTAATATGCTATTTGATAATCTAGCTTGCGCAAAATCCATTCTTAACTAAGGAAAAGTTGAAACAATTCTATGAATTTTTTGGAATTTTTACAGAAGTTATTTTTGTTAAACTTTTATATAAAACATGCTAGTTACAAAGCTAACTTACCCAAAACCAGTTCTTTATTCATAATTTTTGTTAGATTTATTAATAAGAAATTTAGAACAATCGTTTAACTTAAAATTTTTTTGTTAGACTTAAAGATTAATATACTTTTTTTAAAAAGCTAGCTTGCTTAGAAGTAGTTCTTGATATAGATTTTTTTTAAATATTAGATATGCTATTTAGTAATCAGGTCTGCCTTAAATACATTCTTGACTTAGGAAAAGTTGAGACAAAAATCTCGTTAGATTTATTTAAAGATTATGCAATTTAATAAGCTAGCTTGTATAGAAGCCATTCTTGTCTATAGTAAAATTCGTTAAATTTAAAAGGTCACATGATTTTTTCAATATGCTAATTTATGCATAAACCCTTGCAGAAGCAATTCTTGATTAAGGAAAAGTTAGAACAAAAACTGTTAGACTTATTTTGGTTAAACTTATTTTGGTTAGACTTAAGTAATTAATATGCAATTTAATGAGGAAAATCACACAGAATCAATTCCTGATACATATTATTTAATTAGACTTAATAAATATAACCGAAAAATGATATAGAAATTAAAGTTTTAGAGCTTTTAGATGCTTTTCTAATATAATAAAAAACAATATTGATTTTACATCTCCTACAGGCATACAATATCATGAGAGTATGAATATTCTGTCCTCAAATCCCCATAATAACATTGTGTAGCTTTTTAAATAAAATGAATAATAAATAAATATTTCATATTATATGTTATGTCTTGTGTTTCATGATAATTTTTTTTATATATTTAATTTTTTTTTCTTTACATAATACTAAAAATAAACTTAAAAAAACAACTTAATGAACCTATTAACAAACAAGATAAACTTTTAAAAAAAAAGAAAACTCTCTTACAGCTGCACAAAAAAAGAGCTTTGTTTAAAAAAAATATCATTATCTTTTTTAAAACAAAAAGATTTGGTTAATGAATATGACGTTAGTAAAGGTATGATTAGTGACATTTTAAAGGAGAAAGACTATTAACTTTCTGTAGATACTAATTCATATCAAGCTAATTTGAAATGTGATAAAAAAACTCTATTCCCTTTCATTAAAGAAACATTAGCAATTTGGGTAGATAATATACTCAAAGCTAGCCTTATTATTATAGATGATATTCTTTTAACAAAAGCCTTGAATTTTCTTTTTTATTAAAGAAAAATAAGTTT